CACATCACCCCTCTGACCCCCAGCCTCATCTCAGCATCACACACCCCTACATCACCTCCTGCCCCCATATCATACCTGCCCCCATATCACCCCCTGCCCCAGAGCAACCTCTGTCCCCCAGCCACCCCCGCCTCATCTCAGCATCACACCCCGCCCCCCTCAGGCACAACACCCCATATCGCACCCTGTGATGAAGTGATAGAGGAGTGAGTTAATTACAATAACAATAAAGATGAAATTGGTTCCTTGAAATGATTCAAGATTGAATGCTTTCAATGTGATCTGGTTATATGAAGACTAATACATATTTTAAGATGCTAAGTGTTGCATTAAAATGGCTGTTACTTTTTCCCCTGATCTTTTTGGCACATTTATTTAACTACTAACCATTTCTTACTTTGAACTGTAGGGAGAATTTGTGAAATCCAAATTTCAAAGCATGGCCCGAGCAGTCACGGGGGTACATTTTCAAAAGGACAAAGGGCAGTTACGTGTCTCATGCCCCATTTTTCCCAAGTGGTACCCGCTAGAGTAGCTGCTGTGCCACTCCACCCATTTCGCCACTGCCCCCTCCCTGAAATTACCACTGCTTCCCAGAGCAAACACTACCCCCAAAGACCAACCATGCAGACACCGTCACACCCCACAACCACATCAGGGCATAGATTGTACTACTGCCCCTCTCCAGAACTGATGTTGTACTAGTGCTTCTCTATCATGTTTTCGAGAGGGGATAACAGCACCCTTCCAGGGATCTGATCCTGAGAAAAAATGCTGAGGTCAGCACTGAAAGGCCATTCACGTCTTGTGTAATCCATTGACTGCAGTGAGGTTACACCAGGGATGAATATTGCCCAAGATCTAGCGCCTCAACAAGCCTCCACTGTAAACTCCACTCTCCCACTGGTCTGGGTATGTTTTCATCCTCACTCCTGTCCTCTTATGCATGAAGGTGCTGCCTCTCCTGCTGCCCTGTGCTTCCCCTTCCTGCAGACGGAAGCGGGGATGGGAGCAGAGATTACTTTCCCACATATTGCCACAGTCCCTTTGGCTGATGGAACTAGGAGTTTGGTACACAGCTATATCCAATCAATGATTCTGCATCACATTTCAAGAACAGGGAAGGGGAGACAGTAATGGAGTCTGAAGCTATTGACTAGAACAATCCTGATTCCATTTATTATTTCCCCGGTGCGTTTTGTTTTGTGTGGCTTGCTCCATCCAGATGTTGGTGTATAACTCTCAGCTGGGCCTCCCATCTTTACCATATATATAGACTATAGTTTATTTCGTTTCCTTATAGCCAGACCTAGAAGAGCGTTCAATGGCCTCTGCTCATGATCAAGTCTGGGAGTCCGGTCAATGCAGAGCCATCTTGGCGAGCCATGCCTTCAGGGATAGCTATCTGCAAGTGAGAACTTTGGGATGAAATATTTCTGGACTTTCTGATGCATGGAGATGAATGTATTTGGTGATGCTGGCATGTCAGAATCAGGTGGAAATGGGTTCACGTTGATTCTTGGCACTGGCAATTTAATAGCATGTACAAATCCCGTCAACAAAGGGAGTGGAAAAATGGGCGGAAGGTAGAAACCTGTGTTTGAAGGGAGAAACAACAATATATTAAGAGAAAGAATAAAAACGAAATGCAGTAGTTCTGCTATTTCTTTCCATCAGGTGTGTTCCTACCTATGGCCAAAATAGATGGCTGTGTGTTACCCAAATGTGATATGTCCATATAGACATTGATGATGTATACCTAAGACTGCCAATGGTGCACCTAATGGGATTGCATTTTTACACTAGAGAACCCCTGTCCCCCAGAAATGACTGTCTCAAGGACAGCACATAACATAAAAATGGCCAAACTGGGTCAGACCAATGGTCCTTCTAGCCCAGTAACCTGTCTTCTGACAGTAGCCAGTGCCAGATATTCAGAGGGAATTAACACAACAGGGAAATTTCAAGTCATCCTGTTGTCCAATCCCAGCTTCTGGCAGTCGGAGGTTTAAGGACACTCAGAGAATGGGGTTGTGTCCCTGACCATCTTGACTAATAGCCATTGAGGGCCTTATCCTCCATGTACTTATCTAATTATTTGCTGAACCCAGTTATACTTTCGGCCTTCACAACCTCCCCAGCCAACGGGTTCCACAGGTTGACTGTGCATTGTGTGAAATACACCTCTACCTCGATATAACGCTGTCCTCGGGAGCCAAAAAATCTTACCGTGTTATAGGTGAAACCACGTTATATCGAACTTGCTTTGATCGCCCGGAGTGCGCAGGCCCGCCCCCCCCGGAGCACTGCTTTACCGCGTTATATTCTAATTTGTGTTATATCGGGTCGCGTTATATCGGGGTAGAGGTGTACTTCCTTTTGTTCGTTTTAAACTTGCTGCCTATTAATTTAATTGGGTGACCCCTAGTTCTTGTGTTATAAGAAAGGGTAAATAACACTTCCTTCTTCACTTTCTCCACCCCAGTCATGATTTTATAGACCGCTAGCATATCCCCCCCCAGTCATCTCTTTTCCAAGCTGAAAAGTCCCAGTCTTATTAATCTCTCCTCGTATGGAAGCTGTTCCACACCCCTAATAATTTTTCTTGTTCTTTTGCTGTCCCTTTTCCAATTCACATATATATATTTTTGAGATGGGGTAACCAGAACTACACACAATATTCAAGATGTGGGCATACCATGGATTTATAGAGTGGCATTATGATACAGTATTTTCGTATTATCTCTCCTTTTCCTAATGGTTCCTACTATTCTCTTAGCTTTTTTGACTGACACTGAACCTTTCTTGAGTGGTAACAGCTA